CCCAAACCCAGCCCAATTAGAGGAGGCCCATCAAAGCCAGGCCCACTCCAAAAACCCTAATATAAATAGGGAATTAGGAGTTAATGAGCCTCATTCTGCCTCTAATTACCCTAGCACCCAAAGAAAAGAAAGTTAGAGAGAGAAGGAGAAGCTGCACGCCGCCGTCGCCGAGGAGGAGAGCCGCCGCCGCCGAAGAAGGGTGCCGCCGCCGCCGCTTGCCGAGAGAAGAAGGAGCACTCGCCTGCTTCCACCTTCTCAGAAGCTGCTTGATTCTTTTGCCTCTTCTAGTTCTCCTTAATCTCAGATCTGCTTTTAGGCCAAGGTGAGGATTAGATCTAGGTCTTTCTTCTTATCCCTTTATCTTCTTCTGGTGTGTTGAGTCTAGATCTGGTGGGACAGGTCTGTCTTCTTGTGCATCTAGGCAGATCCATATATATATATATAACTAATAAGATCTAGGATCTCATTAGAGGAAGAACCAGCATGATTGATTGACAACCCTATTGATTGGTTAGTGATTGGTAGAAGTCTTAAAGGTCATAGTCTGTTTCTGGTATAGTGATGTGCCGAATGCAGGCTTGTTTGCTGGGTTATGTGCCGTCTGTGTGACCGTGGCAATAATCCATTCATCCGGTGGAGTGATGACCCACGGGGCTGTCCATGTGGCATGCCGGGATTGGACTGTCTGTGTGACAGGGTCTCTGTCTGTGTGACAGGGTGTCTGTCTGTGTGACAGGGTGAGATGTCGACCTGTGTCCGAGTGACAAGGTGGTTTGGCCTATTGAGAGGCGGGATCGGAGACATCACTGCTTGTTAGTTGCTTGTGAACTTGTAGAGTGCTTGTTTGGTTTCATTAGATTTATTCTTAATATGTTGGTGGAAATAAATGAATAAGGCGGGAGCCTGGTTTGGTTCTCACTGAGTAATTCTCCCAAATTACTCACCCCTCTCTCTCTAAATTCCGATATGCAGGTGATTGTGATTGTGAGTGTGATTGTGCTGATGTCTAGGAAGAACTAGACGAGTAATTCTAGTGTGGTGTGCCTTCAGAAATGAAGGAAGTTTTATTGTTTTCAGAACTATTTCACATTTCTTTTTAAGACAATGTTTCTATTTTATTTCGGATTTAATAAGTTATTTCATCTCTTTTGTAAGACTTGGATTTGGGTTTGGATTTGAATAAAGAACAACAAGTTATTTGGAATTGGTTTAGTTTAGGTTAGTTAATATCCCGGTTTATTTTGGTTTCCTCCGGAACCAGGAATCGGGGTGTTACAATTTGGTATCAGAACCGACACCCAACCACGTGTGTGGAGTCGTCATGTGGCTTCACACTGTAATAGGGTGAACGATTCTGGTGCACGAGCACTCTGTGAGTAGAGGGAGAATTCGGGGACGAATTCCTTGGAAGTCGGGGAGAATTGTAACATCCCGATTTCCGGTATATCGAAAGACTTATAAGAATTGATTTGGCTACCTATGTCAACAAAGTGCACTTATCTTTTCCGGTCAAGTGTGCTGAGAGAACTCCAGAGTTAAGCGTGCTGATGCTGGAGTAGTCTCAGGATGGGTGACATACCGGGAAATACTCTGCGGTACTGTGCGAATGAGGAAAAAGCACGGGGAAAGATCATGTGGTGATTGCAGGGACAGTAGACAAGTCTTACGAGCCTTCCGGACTAACGACTCCCGACCGTCGGACAGTGGTGGGCCAACGGGCCTAGAGAGGACGTTGGGCCAACGGGCATAGAGAGAGGACGTTGGACCCACGGGCCTAGAGAGGGCGTTGAGCTCACTAGGAGGGACGGTTGGGGGGAGTTAGGATTGATATCGCCAGTCCGCGCCTGGTCCCCAAAAGAAGGGCGGGTCGGGATGTCACAATAACAATACAATTAGATTTGACAATGTTTTTCGGTTCAAAAGCTGCCGATAATTTTCTTCTCAAAAACGACTACACTTATATATTTGATAGATTGGAAGGGTTCTTTGTTGGATTATCATTTATCAAAAACTTAATCACCTTAGAAAATAAATATGACGATATGTACTTCGTTTGAATCTAATTTCGACCCATATATAACCAACCCAACTGTACTAATTATCAACAAAACTTCAAAGTGGTTTTGTCAAACATTCTTACGAAGAGAGGAATTAAGACTTTAAAATTGATGTCGTCCTAAGAATACCAGTTCGATGGAAATAAAAATTAACATTGTTATGTTTAAGATTCATTTGAAAATTTGGTGAGTGGGGGGTATTCAAATGCTATGCTCATTTTAGAGATTAGTAAAAGTGCAAATTATCTCTAATTATAAAAGAAAAAAATAGAAGTTGAGAAGTTTTAATTTGTGTTCTGTTTATTCATTTACATATTTTGTTTTCTAGGTCGGATTTGGTTTGTACGGATCGGATCTTAGGTAATAGCAATTGTTGAAAAGCTATTTATTTTGTTTTGATAAAATGTTATCTCCCATATCTATATATATAAAGATAGCTTTTCTCTTTTCTGGTGCTGCCACCTCAGCAGCCACCTCAGCAGCCATCTGTGCAATTATTTTTTTTTAAGACTTTTAGTTTGTCCGGTTTCTTCAGTTACGGCAAATGATGAGACACTTTAAATAAATCAAATATCACACTACCAGAAACTAAAATTAAACAAACCATATGAACGACAACAATCACGGAATCACCATCAAAAGAGAATTGCATAAACAGATTTTTCGACGGAAGTAATATTTTCCAGAAAAAAAACTCAGCTCAGCTTAACCATAAACGCTGGACTTTCTACTAATCCCAAAAAGGATCCATGAAATCTATATATATAAAGATAGTTTTTCTCTCTTCTGGTGCTGCCACCTCAGCAGCCACCTCAGCAGCCATCTGTGCAATTATTTTTTTAAAAACTTTTAGTTTGTCCGGTTTCTTTAGTTACGGCAAATGATGAGACACTTTAAATAAATCAAATATCACACTACCAGAAAATAAAATTAAACAAACCATATGAACGACAACAATCACGGAATCACCATCAAAAGAGAATTGCATAAACAGATTTTTCGACGGAAGTAATATTTTCCAGAAAAAAAACTCAGCTCAGCTTAACCATAAACGCTGGACTTTCTACCAATCCCAAAAAGGATCCATGAAATCCACGCCAAATTGGAGTCACCAACGGCACACCCAAAAAACCAATTCCAAAGCTGAGAAACTGATCAGCTCCCCAATATGATGACGAATAGAGGTATATCTAAGAAATCATGGGAAGGGGTTAGACCGGCACCGATTCTGGAAAAAAGCACTGCAAGAGTGGACAATACCGAAATAAACGTCACTGAATCACCCAAGGAAGAAAGAGAAGGAGGATGAAAAAAATGACTCAATTAGAGACCAAAGGAATGGGTATGAACAAAAGGTTGGTCCGACCAAAATTTCAATCACCCTCTTTCAATTGAAGCACCCTCTATCAACAATAGAAGAGTTTTGCCAACATTTGAGAGAGCTATCGATTAATACCTACAATTATGAAGGGCTAGAAACGGACACAGCTTTGTATAATCAAAATGAGATTTCATAAACATCGAACGAACAAATAAATATAGCTGGAAAATGAGCCAATATAAAATAATACAAAAAATTACAGACTAAAAAAACTTTCATACTAACCATCCAAACCCGATTTCAATATAGACATTTTGTACTTCTTTTGACTCAAGGCCTTATACAAAATATACTAACGGAGAAAGTGCTTTCACAATTACAAATTAAAAAAACGAAAAAAACAAATACTTCATAAACAAAAATAAATTAACAAGAATAAATATAACACTTCCATAACATTAACCAAAAAATTATTAAAAAAAAACATCCCGAATAACATCTTTTATAAGAGACATAAGTCTCCCATATATAAAACTATAAAAAAGGGAAAAAATATGTGTATAATATAATAGAGAAGAATCGTAATATAAAAACAATGGTAAATGTCCGCGCGTAGCGCGGATCACACACTATTTTGATTATAAATATAGAATGACATATCTGCACAAATTACCACTTAATTCAATTTCTTTATAAACTTGACATTTAATTATCCTTTTTGTTTTTAAGCTTGTAAATAACAAAAATACTTGTCTATCCATATACCGTTTATATGTATACACGTTGATACATGGTTAAATTGTCATGAATAGTACTAAAAATGTTAAAAACTATGAACAATTAATTAAGTACTAAAAACTATCCTCAGTTTAGCAAAATCTAATTCTTGCAAAACTCCCATATATAATTAACTAGAGAAGAATATTTTGGATGATTTAGTGATGAAGTTTATAAGTTTAAGAGTTTTAGTGATGTTTGACAAAACAAAAAGGTTTAGTGATGAATCTAACAATGTGGGAAAAATAGATTGAGAGGTAGAAGTTGAGGGGTCTACTGAAATCACAAAATAATACTATGTGGACCGGCAAATAAAAGTTACCTGTATCGAAATTTTGCCACATGTACGAATTGGAAAACAGAGAATAAAACTAAAATAGTAACACTTGATTATTTTATTTATATCGATAGTAACACTTGTTGTTACATGAATATTTTTAAAATACTCTCTCTCTACATTATTTCAGAGAACCATGACCTCGTGGGCACAGCTTTTGTCCCCCTCTTTGAGTATTAGCAAACAGCTTTACCCATATGACCCAATCTTTTGAATTATTACATTTTATTTTCTACATTAATACTCATTGATTGATTTGTTTTGTAACGCTCTCAATTATTTTAAACTCAATTAATTTTAAAATCCACTAATCCATACCTAATTATTTCCCCTCCCCCATCTCCTGTTTTTTCTTGCTCAAGATCGCAACAACAACTTAACGGTACAGAAATAAAAATAAAAATGTTTCAACCTTCCACCACTAATCATATGTTAATTTAATCATCTTCTTCCATCTTCGATTTATAAACCTAAAATTGCTAAGAAAAACAAAAAATTGGAGAGAAAAGAAAAAACAAATTATATTCTCTTTCTCTTCCATCAAGCAAAGCTTCAAAAAGAATCAACTTTTTTCACTAGAGAGAATCAAATTTTCTTTCTTTTTTCGCTTCTGGGTATTTGTGCTCTTTTTCTTGAGATCTGTTCACAGAAAAAGAATGGGTTTTTATGAAGGAGCTTCTGTTCATCCACGAAACCCAGAAACAAATCTTCAGGGCAATTCCGTAATTATTCCCATTCTCACTTCTTCGTCTTCTCCAGATCGTGCCGGAGATTACTATGAGAAAGGACTCAAAACCCGTCTGAAAAAGATGATCTTTGATTTGGGTCTCGCTTGTTTCCTTCCTCCTCCAGCTGGATCAAGCTCAATCGAGAGCTCCGGCAACAATGCAAACGGCGGAGGAAGCGGCGGAGAGAACAACAAGGCGTGGCTTTTAGCGGAAACAGCACCGGAAAATATGAACCCTGATCCTCATTCTGTCCATTCATCGTTTAGATTCAGTCTCTGCTCACAGATTGAGCTTGAGAAGATGAAAGGAGGAGGAGAGCCTTCGTTGTCTGCTTCATCTTCTTGCCGAAATTTGTCAGTTTCCGGTGGCTCCGCGACGGTTTTAATGGTGAATCTAGAGAATGGAGTTAAGGAAACCGGAAATTCCACGGACGATTTGAGGTGGACGAGAGCTCGATCGCTGGAAAAGAGTATTTCTCCGGTAGCTAACACTCTGGTTCGATTCAGCTACGACGAAATCGTCGCCGCGACTCGTAATTTCTCCAAAGGTAAAAACTTTAAGCTTAGCTCCGATGAAATTAGGAATTAGGGTTGAGAATCTGGAGAAAGGTTTTGACTTTATGATTCAATGGTTTGTGTTAGGGAGAGTGTTGGGAAGAGGAGCTTGTAGCTATGTGTTCAGGGGTAAAATCGGAATTTGGAGAACAGCTTTAGCAATCAAGAGACTTGATAAGGAAGACAAAGAATCTCCGAAATCATTTTGCAGAGAGTTGATGATTGCAAGCTCTCTTCATAGCTCCAACATTGTGCCTCTTGTTGGATTCTGTATCGATCCCGAAGAAGGTCTATTCTTGGTGTACAAGTATGTTTCTGGTGGTAGCCTCGAACACTATTTACACGGTAAGGAGAAAACCTTTTCTTGATCTTCATTGTTTTCTAGATCAAAGTTCCGATTTTGTTTCGGGTTTTGAACAGACAAGAAGAAGAAGAAAGGAGGCGTGAGGTCAGCTTTTGGTTTGCCTTGGTCAGCAAGGTACAAGGTCGCGTTAGGCATTGCAGATGCCATAGCTTATTTGCATAACGGAACAGAGCAATGTGTTGTTCACAGAGATATCAAACCCTCCAACATTCTTCTTTCCTCAAAGAAAATACCAAAGGTAAAATAGAGAGTCATTTTGGTAAAATAGAGAGTCATTTTCCGAGAATACTAATGATCTTATTCGATAATCGATTTGAGAAATAAGAATTGTTTTTTTCTTTCTTCAGTTGTGTGATTTCGGATTAGCTACTTGGACTGCTGCACCTTCTGTTCCTTTCCTTTGCAAGACTGTGAAAGGCACATTTGGGTAAAGATCAAAACATCCTTTGAGTTCTTTGTCTTCCTTTTAAAGTCGATTCCTTGTGATTAAACTCAAAACTTCTTGCAGGTATCTTGCTCCTGAGTATTTCCAACATGGCAAGATATCAGACAAGACCGATGTTTACGCCTTTGGTGTTGTTTTGCTTGAGCTAATAACTGGTAGGAAACCTATCGAACCAAGAAGATCATCTGGTGAAGAAAATTTGGTTGTTTGGGTATGTCATCAAAATCCACATCATTCCTATACAAACTATTAGTATTGAGCTTGGTTCTTGCACAACTTTAGTGATCATATCTGTGTCACATACATTTAGAGTTGTTTTGGAAAAAGACTTAGTTTTTTTTTGTGTTTTATTCAATAGGCGAAACCATTGTTGGATAGAGGGATTGAAGCTATAGAGGAGCTGCTAGATCCAAGATTGAAATGTACAAGAAAAAACTCGGTTCACATGGAGAGGATGGTGCGTGCTGCAGCGGCGTGTGTGATCAATGAAGAGTCTCGAAGACCTGGTATGGAAGAGATTGTCTCGATCTTGAAAGGTGGTGAAGGATTAGAAGAGCCAAGAACATACTCGAGCAGGAAAAATAATACAAATCTTGCGGGTGTAATCGACTCGTATACACAGTTGCAGCAGACCAAATCCGAGATGAAATGTCATCTTGATCTTGCGATGCTCGGTGTAACCGAGCTTGAGGACGGTGATCATTTGTACGGACGATGAAAAGATTCTCAAAGAAAATGGGATTAAAGAGTGTGTAAATAGGTATTTATGGAAAGTTTGGAACAGAGTTTTTTTTTAGTTTTCTTGAATCAGTGAATTTGATGTGTGTACATGTTTTGGTTTTTTATTTTTTGTTTCCACTATGGATAAAAACCCGGTTTAGGTTTTTTTATTTTTCCGGTTTGGTTATGGAGAGAAAGCCGATTCTCCGGTTTCGTTTTCCGTTTTCAATATTTTTGGTGTTTTTTGTGAAATCCATTTGAAATTGTTATTTATTTGATAGGTAAAAGAAAGTGTGCTGTGAATCCTGACTATTTTATTGTGTGCCTTTATTTTTTTAAGTGGTAGTGTTAACTGTATTCCAACAATAATAGTTTTATAATATGTAGCTGCAAAGTGAGAAATCTCATTGGATGGAACACGAAATTAAATTATAAGTGTAAGCGATCAACTTGCTTGATTTAAAAGTATGGAAAGTATAACCAAAATCAAGCTTTTGCCATCTAATTCAAAAGTATGGTTAGTAAAAAAAACTCTTTCTTATATTATTTATACTAGTTATATTATTTTCTTATAAATCTTGAGTAAAATTTGATTAACGTAAACAATCGATTCTAAAACTGATATGATATTAATATATACTAACTCGCAAAAGTTATCTCAACATCAACGGAAGAAAGAGTGTCGAATTCTACTGCTGAGGAAAATAGAAAGCTAATGTGTGTGAGCCAGACTCAGCCAGAAAATCACAATGATATGAACAAGATAGCTATATAAACAACTGAAACAAAACATAAACAGAATTGACGGTATATGTACGCGACAACAAAAAATGGTTAAGTAGTTTTTCGGGTTTTTGTTTTCTTATCTTATGTTTTTTTTTGTTGCTTTTGTCAATTAGAAATTTTGAAGGGTCGTGCCTACGAAAAAAAAAACATTCGCCTACGGATCTTTGTTTAAAAAGGAAATGAAAAGCCAATTTTTTAGTTAAATTCATTAATTGTTAGTAGTAAAAAAAATTATTTATATAAACTTAATAATTATGTTAAATAATTTTAATAATTTATTATAAATATTTAACAACACAATAAAATATTAAAGTAACATACATAATGATTTAAATAATTAAAAAAACATATTATTGCTCTCTTCTTCTTCGTTACAGTCTTTGCAACTTACTTCTTCTTTTCACAACAACCACATAATCAATTGATATTTGCTAATTACTAAGTATATATATTTTTTAATAATTTTATTTCATCTAATATTAGATTTAGTTTAATTTATGATTTATATTATATTACAAAAAAAACTCAAATAATTAATTAATTTACCGACTTCAAAAAGTAGATTTTTTTTTACAACAACTTTCAAAGTAGGATTTAGATTTTAGATTAGAATATGTTTAAAATAATAGATATATATTATAGTTTTATGAATTTGAAGACAATAATATTATATACATATTATTAGTTTTATATAATTTGAAACAATAATAGTTATTATTTATTTTATATGAGCTAAATTGATTCTAGATTTGGGACGATGATAGATTAACTGGAGCCTTTTTTAAATACTGTTTACAGGCTCCAAAACTCCGGGCAGCACAGCTCTGGATAAATACAACAGATATTTGAGAAAATCTTTCAAGTGAAGCTTGATGAAGGTAAGTGTAAGCGATCAGTAAAATTATTGAATATTTGAATAGTTGTTACTTGTTACCCATTACACAAAGTTACAAAAGCAGAAAATGATAAACCAGTTTTTTCATACGTATAACTAAAGAAATAGTTCATACATATAGGTTAAAGTTAGTAATCAACGGTCCCGAATCGTTTATTTTGGTATAAGATTTGCTTTGAGGCATATTTGACAAAAGAAAACAAAATATCAAGTGTTGTTAGTTTGATTGGTTAAAAAACCTTAGACAAAGCTTAGAGGTTAAAGGATCAGTGATTTTTGGAACGAAATTAATATTAGTAGTTTCAAAATTAATAATCAACTAAGTGGACCAACTTCACTCTTATCCATATGAGATAATGTAACTCCAGTTTAGAGTAAATTGTGTAATTAAGCTCGTATGTAAGAGCAACTGTTGTAACAAAAACAATTAAGGAGAAATAATATCCATTTTCTATCGTCATCTTCTTTGCTTTTCTCAAAAAGCATGGTATCGCTGTTTTGTGATTGTTTTCTGCTGATCCTTCGAGTTTATCATCGATTAAATTTTTTGATTTCAGGTTTTCATTCAATTTTCATCATTGATTTCATCTCTTTGTAGTAGTCCTAGGCGTTTTAGTCCAAACCAAAAAATTTAACCGAAATCAATAAAAAAAAAGTTGGTTCAGTTCGATTCGGATGTAAGAAAATATCATCATAGATTTTTAGATTGGGTAACTTCGGATATCGGTTCAGTTCGGATAATAACTAAAATTCGAAAAACATCCAACTACTAAATTAGCTCTCAAGAATTTGGATCATACTGGCAAGGTGTCGACTTTGAGCATGAAAAATCTCCTTTCTTATCATTATTCGATTTAAACATCAAATCTCTCCTAAAAAATCACTTTTTCTTATTAAACCAATCTCCTCACAATTCAACATAACAACATACTTGTAATTTTTTTTTGTTGTTATTTGACGAAATTCGTTGCCTCAGTGTAACAGACTAACTAACAGTTTCGTCTTTGTTTTCTTTCTATATAATTGTTTGTTACACAAAAATCTACAAAAATATCTTCGAATAATTTCTTTCATAAAAATCTATTCGAAAATTTATTTCTCTCTCTCAAACTTCTCCATTGAAAATGCAAAGATAACATGAATTGGACTACATTGAACTCCAAGATAGTAAGAAACAGCCTCGACAGCTTTATCATGCGCTGGCGATCATGGTGCTACATCTGGTGCTTCCATACGTGGTGGCCGGTGCGAGCAAAATAATAGTATATAAAAACAACTTTTTTTTAATATAAACAACTTTAGAAAAAATAATATATATATTGTTTCTTCATTTTCTCCGTTTCTCTCAAGAAACTAACAACCCATGTACAAAATTTGAACATAAGTGGAAATAAATAGTTCATACATATAAGTAAAGCAATATATATATATATATATTTATATTTGTAGAACAACTTCTCCTCCATAATACTTTTTTACCCGAAAGATGATTAAAAATCAAGAAATTAGAGAAAAAAAAAGGTTGGTATGTCAAGTTTGATGTCATTTCTTTTTTACTGTTAAAATTTTTTCCGAAAGACATTTGCTTAAAACTTGAACTTGGGCTTTGTAAAGACTAACTAGGCCAATCCTTTCAGGGGAACATTTAGAGCAACTGAAATAAGCAAAGAATGACTATGTTAGTTGCATAACATTCTAAAACATGGGATAGAGATATGATTAAATATCTCTTCTTGTAAACTCTAATCAAATCAAAAGCAACTTCAACTTCTCAGCCATGGGAAACATCAAACAAAAGATACGAAGAAGAAGAGGGTTCTTGTGGAATGGAGCTGCTTTGCTTGTCTCATCAACACCAATCAGCAACCCCCTGTTATAGAAATGTTAATACGGTAAAGAAGAGATTGCATGATGCATCGTAAACTGAGTGGACAGCATAACCACATGATTTCTTACCATTTGTAAACGTTTATAGAGGCTTCTTTGAAAAGAAAACTCAATTGCAGCATCAGAGAACACCCTAGGAGAAAGTTGCATCAGATCTCCTACCTTGATTAACTTTCCTGTCGAGTTATAGTTTCAGGAGGATTAGATTTGAGAGAGTTTATTCTATTCCACAATTTTGTTTATTTGCCATGATTAATAGCATATAAACATAATTTCATAACATTTTACCAGATAAAAGGTGTGAATGGCAAACACTAGAGTAATTTGAAGTAATTTTTAAAAGAGTAAATGAAAGGTAAAAAAAATTGATAATTGGAGTAAAGGAGTGGAGTAATGTTTTTACTCTATCTTTTTTGGATGTACAATATAACGATATAAATAGTGTTAAACTGTTAATAAGAGGAAATCTTATCTTTTCACTTTTATAGATTTTTTATCTAATTGGACGTTTTAAGAATAAATTAGCCTTAAACTTTTTTCCATTTCCTATTTTAACATTAACAATTCCTTACAGTCATACCCAAAAAACAGGGAACTTCACAGTTTGAATCTCTTGAGATTTATTTCTCAATGGAGCAAATGACTAGACACAAAATGTTTTATATGATGTAACTTCTGATAGCTTTGACAAGGTTAAATAATCGCATTTGATTTTAATTTTAAAGTATTGATCAATTATAACTGTTTTCTCTATATATATTGAAAAAAAAATTATTTCATCGAGTAGAAGTAAAACTAGTAAAAATTACAAGTATTAAAATTTTCATCTATTTAATTCATTGTAAATATAGGCCCTATAAGATTTTGAACATGGATGCCAATTTCTAATTACTCGTTTGTCGTTTTGCTTGAACATATTTTCTTTTAACAGTTTCCAAAGACAGACGACTCTGTATCCAAAATACGGAAAAAAAAATAAAAAAAAAAAACAAAAAGCAAAGGGAGAAGAAAGACGATTTCTGGAAAAAAAAAGGACGAAGAAGCTATGGCGGACCAACTCACAGACGAGCAGATCTCCGAATTTAAGGAAGCCTTTAGCCTCTTCGACAAGGATGGCGATGGTTAAAAGCTCTTCTCACACCTTTGTTGAATTTCTGTGAATCTTCTTACACATTTGCTGGATCTCGCTTTTTTGTTTTTCCGTTTTCGTCTGCAATCGTTGATCCAATCGTCTGAATATGAGTCTCTGAGTCGATAATGGATTTAGATTCGGTGTTATCGATCTATTTTACACCCTCTCGTTTGGTGTTTGACGTAATTAGTTTTCATTGGATTCGTTTTCGCTTTTCGATTTTCAGTGGCTTGGCTTCTCGTTTATGATTGTATCGATTTAATCGCCTCCTTTATGTCGTCCTGCTTCACCGATTTGTTAACTTGGATCTGGGTTTTTCATTTTTGCGTTTTGGTCTTCAATCTTTGTTCGATCTCTGTTTCTGTGATCAATTGAGAAAACGAGAGTATCTCTCGCGTTGTATGTTTCGTTGATGAATCTGTGAACCTTTCTTCAAGAATCCGATAACTATGTGCAAAAGTGCGATTCTCTATTCATAAATTGTTTGAAAAACTATTCTTGAATTGTCTCATGATGTATATCGTGCATGCTTATTAATCGAAGATCTACTTTTCTTGAAGCTTAAAGGTGCAAGTTTGTGTATTCTTTTTAGAGATAAGCAATTTTGTGCAATTCTTGAATTGTCTCATGAAGATCTACATTTCTTGAAGTTAAAGTGCAACTTTGTGTAGTCTTAATAAGAGATAAGCAGATCAGGTTCATGTGCTTTTGCATCAATCATCATGTGCTTTGCAATGTGAAAGATAGATTGATAGTATTTCCTTCATCCTCCTGTAGTTTATATGGTGTATAAATGTAAATGCTTTCTCTCGATTTTGGTTTTACACAGGTTGCATCACTACCAAAGAGCTGGGAACAGTTATGCGTTCACTAGGGCAGAACCCAACAGAGGCCGAGCTCCAAGACATGATCAACGAGGTTGATGCAGATGGAAACGGAACCATCGACTTTCCCGAGTTCCTTAACCTGATGGCTAAGAAGATGAAAGACACTGACTCAGAGGAAGAGCTAAAAGAAGCTTTCAGGGTTTTCGACAAAGACCAGAACGGTTTCATCTCAGCTGCTGAGCTACGCCATGTGATGACCAATCTTGGGGAGAAGCTAACTGATGAGGAAGTGGAGGAGATGATCCGTGAGGCTGATGTTGATGGAGATGGTCAGATAAACTATGAAGAGTTTGTCAAGATTATGATGGCTAAGTGATTGGAGAAAGGTTGTTGCTGGTGATGACTGATGACCTTTTTATTATCTTTGTCTAGGAGTTTAACCAAGAACATTTGTATGATTGGTCGACAAAAAATTGGCTTTAAAAAGATTGAGATCTGAGACTGTGTTTGTTTTTGTTTTTGATTTCCTGGTTCTGTGACTTTTGTGTGTAATGTCAATTAAGTTAAGTTGGTCCACTTGCTTGTTCTCCTCCTCTGGTTGGGTTTTAGCCACATTTAGGCTCTCATTGTCATCGATATTGGTGTCTATCGCTTTAATAAGGTGTTTATGAGATTTTTGAGAACCAGAGGAAAAGTGGTTGAAGAGAGTACAGTTGGAATCGAGAACAGAGAATGCGGTTTGGTTGAAAGAATTAGGCCTGGACACATTATCCGAACTCGAATAATTTATCCGAACCCGACCCGAAAAAGAGAAATCGAACTTGAACCAAAACTGATAAAATATCCGAACGATTTTTAAATTTTTAAATCCGAAAAACCCGGATGGATATCCGAACGCCCAGACCTAGAAAGAATAGTTGAATATTTGGTTGAATATTAAAAAAATAATCTATATTGTTAATTATGATTTAACCAATTTTATAATAAGGTCTTTAAGAAATTGTGTTAACAATTTAGCATCTGACTATTCAAAAATGTTTGATTTTTTTTTTGTACAAAAGATTAAAGTTTTTACAAAACTTACATAAACTTTTTAAAAAAAAGAAAATCAACCATGTATTCACAAAAAAGGCTCTAAATAAAATTCTTTTACGATATTTTAGATATGAAGATAACTTCAGGCTTGAATGGTATGTAGCTTTTTGACGTTTAGAAAATGTTATTCCGCTAAATATATACCATTCATAATATTAAATATAAAATAATAAAAAATGGAAATTAATAAGTTATTTTTCAGTTTATACCGTAGTTATAAATTTATAGATAGTTTTAAACACTTCATTCTTCTAGTAGATACTAGCTTTTGGTATTTTAAGTTTATTCAGTTTTAATTTTTTTGGTCTTTTTAATTATGCTATTTTATTATTAAGCTATTATGTTATTCTATTATTCAGTTGACATAAAAGTCAACGCTGGAATTTATTATCCGGTATCCAGTCTCCGATCCGGTATTCAGTCCTATCCGATCCATAAAAACCGAATATTTGTGGAGTTCCGGATCCGGATCCGGATAATGAAAGTATTCGATTATTTTGGATACGGATCCGGATAATAGAAAATTTGAAATCGGATATCCGTTACCGTTATCAGTTTATTAGGTATTTATTTATTTTGATAATATTTATTAAAATTCATATTACATGATAACTTTCTATTTCATATTGTAATAGAAGAAAATGAAAATTGATAACACATGAATATGAAGATAAATTAACTTTTCTATTACTATTTTCTCTTTTGCTATGTAAACTTTTAAACTTTGTGCTATTTGAATGATACTTGAATGCTTTTTAATTTTTAGTATTTGTAATTTTTGTTATATTGATACATTTTAATTATATATGTTATCTCATTATAATTTTGAAAAATTAAAAAAAAAATTTAAATCAACGACTAGATATCCGGTCGGATATCCGTAAATATTCGGTTCAAACTGGATATCTGATCTCTGGATATCCGGAGTTTTTGGATCTGGATCTGGATAATAAAATTGATTATCCGGCAAATCTGGATCCGGATCCGGATACCTTGAAAAGTCCGGATATCCGGCTCCATTCCAGCCCTAGCATCCAAAACTAGTAAAAGATTCTTAGCAAAGGAGAGAATTCAGTTAAAGTAACACGTACGATTAGATAATGGTTATTGTTTAGGGGATTTTTGGTCCTTTTGTGAGGATAAGTCTCTTGCAAAACTAAAAAATGTATGAACGTCCGGAAAACATAACGGAAAACACGGAGGGGTATGTTTTCCGAAGATTATTCGACGCTCAAGTCAAAAAACAGTTAAGAAATACCACTAAGTGGCACATCAGAGATCAGAAAGAGATCAGAAAACATGTGAAGGGAAGTGGGCCGAGCGTTCCTGAAAAAGACGGAATCGATTCGGACATTTAGTGGTGATTGATTTTTTGAGGTGAAAAGAAAGGAAAATAAGAGTTTGTTGGTGGAAAAACTCCATAGTTTAGAAACCGCAGTTGTGAGAAAGTTAAAAGAAGTGATCGGTATAGTGACCGAAAAGTATAAAAGGCTAGTGCTTAAGACTCACAAAAAAAAGTGTGTGTCCCTCAACCCGTTCAAATGGTAACCAAATGTACAATCGAAACCTTAAACTTTTGTGTTCTGGCTGATGATTTCAACTAACTATTTGAACCACTCGTTCCAACCGTTTATTCTATCTATGCACAGCTGCAACAGAGAACAAGATGCTTCGCATACAACCACATACAACCACTTCCAAATTCTTCCAAAAATGTGCGTCCAATCAAATTCTTAACTTTAGCATGGAAACAAATAAAATTGGTATAAAGTGCTTTTATTTTGTCAACAGTATAAAGTGTTTATCAAATTAATGTCTTGTTCCTCATTTTCTATCTGGATACGACGTTGAAATTTTAAGGCTGCACAAACGAAAAAACGACACATGTAAAAATGTACAAGGTTGGTATTCATGGGCCACTGGCCACGCTTATATTAGCGTGTGGGGCTGAGATAGAGAACGCCTCCATCTCATGAAAAGTTTTAACATTTTAGGTAAAACTCAAACACTATTGTCCCCACGTAGTATTTACATTATCATTTTTCGTTTGGACATTACTTAGTATTATAATGTCCATTATCATTTTAAATATGGACATTAAAGGTATTTTCAATTACCACGGACATAAATTCATACCTAAAAAACTCAAACACGACATACAAATATGGACATTACTTAGTATTTTCAATCACCACGGAAATAAATTCATAATCATGTAAAACGATAATGTAAAATATCAATTGTAATTACTTTAAAACTATCGCTACATCAATCAATATAAAAAAATATTTAAGTTATCCGATATCATGCATTTACCTTAGTATCCAATACAGATGTTTATGATATGAGTTTGTTTAAATCTAAAATGCAATCTTATGGTCCTTTTGGACTTCGTGTTATGTAGTTTTAATTATTTTTAACATATTTATTTATTTGTAATGTCGGATATGTATTATACTTCTCTGAGATCATTTCCAACTATATTCCAAATTTCATTCCAAAATAGAATTTGGAATAAAATTTTCTTTAACTCTACTTTATATTTTTTTTCCTATGTCCAACTAATATGTTGAGATATTAATTTGGAGACCATTCTCGACCAACTCGGTATGACTGATTTGGAAAAATACTAAACCTCGTGTTCGAGTTCCTTTTACAAGACTATCCGTTTGGACATTTAAACTTCTGCGAATATGAGATAAAGTGAATTCCGAATAATTCTCTCGAAGAATACATAAGGATTCCAGTTATGCCATAAAGAACGGCCAATCTGCTGGAGATTCAATCATACTCACAAGATCCGAACAATCCATCTGAAAGTGAAACTAGCTGATCTGTCTCTCTCGCAAACATGACACAGCCCAAAGGAGGTTATCCATCTTGGCATGAAGAGTCGAGAGGCTTCTGCGACATCCTGAATTCCAACAAGCTTATTTTGCCATGCCATCATCCAAACTCCAACCGAGACCTCTAATCGATCCTTGATTGATCCAAGAGGCATGAATCCAGTTTAACGGAAACCACTGTTCTTCGATTAGAGATCTCGAGGACAGAGGGGTGTGTGTCGTTGTCTTGATCAGGTTGATTCACGGTTCTCCAACTCTCTGCTTCGAGCGTTGCATGGAGCAGAACATCTTCTGAAGAAATTTCTTTCCCGTCAAAAATCTTGTATTCCTCGTTTTCCAAATAAATCAAAGGATCAAAAGATATACATCTTTCTCTGGATCAGTCATATCTAGTTCTTTGTTTTTTAAAAGAGAAAGTTCATATTTTGGTGTGCTAGGGATCCTACTTCATATCTTTAGAGAAAAAATTAAAGTTACTCCAAAAAATATGGAGCACAAGTTAGAGTTACTTTATTTTTTTTTAGTTATGATTTTTTGGAGAAAAGAATGAAATAATGTTGGAGTAAAACATAACTCTATTTTGGACTTATTCTAAATGGAGTAAAATATACAGTTTCACATTGAAGATTATGAAAAATACTGACTTTTTATGTATTAATATTATACACTAGAATATAGATATTTTTTAATTTACATTTCCGAATTTCTATAACACAATAGTTAAATGTAATAAACTATTAAACCAAAAAAAAAATGTAATAAGCTCAACAAACTACATTTCATTATGTTATTTTATTTTTATTTTCCCTTTCTAACTATTTCTTTTTTTACCTTTTTTTTGTCTAACAACTGAAGCCAAACACTTCTTTTGACTTATGAAAATGAAAAAGAGAAATAAAAAAAAAATTCTACTTTTCAAACAACAATTAACATATTGTATATTCTAACTAAGAATTAACCCGCACAATGCGGAATAATGTTTTTAAATTATTTTTTAGTTAAATTAATTTTTATAGTTAAATTTAAATTGGTGGTAAAAATATTTTAACAAAAAATACAAATAAATAAAATTGGTGGTAATTAGATAATAATCTATTTTACAATTTATTAAAATATTTTTTTGGTCAACTTATAAAAAATAAATTAATTAATTTTTGAAAATAATACTAATTAATTATGAAAATACAAATAAAAAATATTGCAAAAGTTTAAATAGAATTGTTTGGTATATATAGATTGATTATTATTTAAAATAATAGAATATATTTAAATATTTTAATAAAAACTAAATATATTTTTGATTTATATTCATATATATTCAAAACAAATCTGTAAGTTATATATTTAACTATCTCTTATGGAAAATATTTAATTAAACTTTCTATATTTGTAAAGTTTATTTATGTAATATCTTCTAAGTAAAAAATTATTTATGTAATATATTATAAATAAATATTTTTTATATAAAATATCATATAATATCTTACAAATAATAGTTTATTTATGTAAATATTTATTCAAATAATAATATAAGATTTTCTTCGTGAGTAAAAATATTGTCAGTTTTTCTAAAGTGGAAAATTCCATCACTTAAATTTTAACTATGGAAAGTATGATTTGTTTGTCAATAACATTGATATGGGGATTTAAAATGGAAACTTTTACTTTACAAAAAGGGAAATTTGCATTTAATGCATACGCATTTAAGAAATAGAACATTGGAGTTAAATCAAAGAAAGATGCCTACTAGACTCTCCAGCTCACGCAATCTTAACGCGTTTTATTAAAAAAAAAACGCGTTATTACGTCACTCTCTTCCCATATTTATAAACCAACACATCGTCTTCTCCACACACACACACACTCTTCGTTACACTCCTCCAAATTCGTCTCTCTCTCTCTCTTTGATTCTGATTCACAATCGTTGCAAATGTCGAAGAACGGAGTTCGTAGCTGTTTAGGATCCATGGAAGATATCCGCCAAGTTTTCCAGCGATTCGATAAGAACGGAGACGGAAAAATCTCCGTCGACGAGCTCAAAGAAGTGATCCGTGCGCTTAGCCCCACCGCGTCGCCGGAAGAAACAGTGACGATGATGAAACAGTTCGATCTCGACGGAAATGGATTTATCGACATGGACGAATTCGTCGCTCTTTTCCAGATCGGAGTTAATCAAGGAGGAGGAAACAACAATAACGATTTCAGAGATCTGAAGGAAGCGTTTGAGATATACGATCTGGATGGTAACGGACGGATCTCGGCGAAGGAGCTTCAATCTGTGATGAAGAATCTCGGTGAGAAGTGTTCTGTTCAGGATTGCAGGAAGATGATTAGCAAAGTTGATAGTGATGGTGATGGTTGCGTTAATTTCGAAGAGTTTAAAAAGATGATGAACAACGGCGGAGCTTGAATTTTCCGGCCGACGGTGACGGTGAGGAAGGATTGTTATTAGGGATTGATTTCCGAGGTTTTTGTATAAAGGAAGAAGCTAGAAAGTTCGATTTTAATCTTGTGGGTTAGTGACGGAAATTAGAAATTAAAGGCAAATCCTCTACATGATTCAGAAGTTTCCAACATAGTCTTTCATTTTTTTTATGGTTTCGTTTCTGGTGATGATCATTGATTAACTACTAAAATTGTTCTATATTTTACATTCACATACGAGTTTTTAATATGCTGAGAAGTTTATTTGAATAAAACTCAAATCTAAAACGAGACCGAAATCGTACCAAAACAGTTATAACAAATTTAGTTATGTATCTTGCGATTCATAAACCAAGAAAAAAAAAAAAAAATTCCGAAGCCGAATTCTGTATTGAAAACTTTAAACTAGTCATGTTAGTTATTCAGTCTATGTTTAACATAAAACCGGATAAAACCAATCGTAGACACTATCATGTATCCTGCAAAACCTGAATAAACCGGATATCGATCAGATAATTAACGATTTCAGAGGAAAAAACAGGATTAGGATCACACAATGATATAGTATTACTTGGATTAGCTTTTTACCAATTAATGGTACAAAAAAAAAAAATTCAAGAATCTTAACTTGAGTACGAGGTTAAACAGAAGATGGTGGAAACAGAGGCAAATAGGTTAAGAAGATTTGTAACTTGACATATCTAAATGTGGCTTATGGTGGAGGTTAAGAAGAAGAAGAAGAAGAAGAAGAAGAAGAAGAAGAAGAAGAAGAAGAAGAAGAAGAAGAAGAAGAAGAAGAAGAAGAAGAAGAAGAAGAAGAAGAAGAAGAAGAAGAAGAAGAAGAAGAAGAAGAAGAAGAAGAAGAAGAAGAAGAAGAAGAAGATTAAGAAGAAGAAGAAGAATAAGATGAAGAGAAAGAATTAGAATAATAATAAGAATAATGATGAGATGAATAATAAGAAGATCAAGAATAATAACAAGAAGATTATTAATGAGAAGAAACCGAATATTACTCTTTGAAGAAGACTCCGCATGTCTTGCACACTTTTTGAACTCCAATAGGAACAGAATAATCCGAATTAAGAGCTTATTACGTAGGTGAGCTTGAGATTCTTTCGCTGACCAGCTTCTAATTTCTAAACCATGTATGCACAAGGAGACTAACGATAGACATCGATCGATATGAAAAGTCTTAATTACCCCTTGTACCGGTACATCGATCCACTCGAGCTGGGCCTCGACCTCTCCGCATTCCACGTGCTGAAGTCTAAGGAACATGTTCTGGCAAGCTTGCCTTGGTTCCACACAATCCTGGCTCTCTTCCTATGGACCGTGCTGGCTGATCGGTTGTCTCTTCATTATTATGGTTCTGTTGGTCTGACGTCCTTCGATCTTATGACGAATCTTGATGGCATCAAGATGTGTAACAATGTTAATACTCTGCTTCTCCCTTCTTATCATCCGATGGAGAACAAGTGTTTATCTTACACCGTCATGTGTTCCAATAACGAGAATGT